TTAATTTTGTGCTCCAGTCTAAATAAAGATGAACCTTTTCAAATCTAAACTTTTCATGAAATAAAAGCTAAAGTTACAAAAATTAAATGTTTTTATTTTATTCTGGTTTTTTTTTAACTTACATTAAAAATTCATTTTTGAAGAAGACATGCTATTCTGGTTTAAAAATGGTGTGGTTTTTTTAATGTCAAGTCATTTTGCTCAAGTGGTTACTAGGTAGCAATCACTTTCACATTTCAGAATTAAGTGTATTTAGTGACAAATAACAGTAATGAATATATCAGAGAATTGTTTAAAGATCCTCAATCTAGTTAGAAGTTGTTTAGTAACTTCACAACGCAAAGCTCCATTTCAGACTAGTTTCAGTCTGTATTGCAGTCTACAATGCTGAAATACTTTCAAGGCAAATTGCCTCAACAGAACCACCGGTTTTCATACCTGAATCTATCATATACAAATAAATACGCACAGAAACCCATTCATTTTGATGACATACAACTTAAAATATTTCTCTTGGAGCAAATCTCAAAACTTTCAGTCACACTATTCAACCTCTTTTGATTTGAATGTTGTTCATATATTATAATTAACTAGTCTCTAGGACAGAAATGTGCACAGAAAAAAATATTCTGCAGGTATCTTTATTTTACTTTTATGCCAGCTTCTATAACCCTGTAAAAAACATCTAGGCAACTAAACATTCTAGCAGAACGATTAAGCCATAAATAAAACCCTGGTAATCCAGTCTGGCAGCAGACCAAACCAACACCTGGTGCCTTTTACATAAATGTTCAGCATATTTAAGCTTCTCATAGATGGAGCAAGTTCAAAAGCTCAAGACTCATACTGCCCACAGACTAACGTTATAAATGTGCATTTTGAACAGCTAACAAGTGAAATTAATGGTGGGAAACAGGGAAATGCACAAATGAATGGACATTTACCAGCTAGATAGTGGCAGGTTAGAGCAACTTCGGATTTTATTTGGAAAATTGTAAGAAGCCAAAGAAAAAAAAAGACACTTTCACGTATTGCTGAATTAAGTCAGGAAGTGACGGATCAAATGAGAATGCATTACTAAGTTTATTCTAGCCTGAAAAAGCCCCAGCTGTGGATTTAACATGGGCAAACATTTTATTCATTATTTCACTGGGACTTTTTCATCCAACAGTAACAAGAAGAAACAAGGAGACAATGAGAAAAAGATAGAGCAAAGTTAGATATTAATTCTACTAGTAAGAAGGATAAATTATTGCAATAGATTGGTCTTTGACTTTTTTAGTATTTTTTTTTAGTATTTTCTAAAGGCATGGCTTATTACCTGTGACAGAATTATCATTAACATATTTCTGTACTAAAAAAAGAAACCTTTACAAATTTAAAATATTGATATGATATTTTAAATAACTCAGTGAGCCATACCATGTGTCCATATACATTTTTGCACACGTGTTGATAGAAAAAAAAGTATGCAAATATATTTGAATAGCAACACATTTAGATTGTTATTGATATAAGGATAAGCACCACTTGGATTATCCTCAGACCAATAAAGAAATATGAAAGAATCATCAAAAGGTATATATGAAATCTATTAGTGTGTGAATCATGATAGAAAATCCTCCTCAATAAAAGTAGACCACTGAGACTTCCTCAGGAATTCTATGTATCATATAAAAAAAATATTCACAGTTTTATTGCAAAGTCACCTATTAATTTAGACTTAAGTAGAAATTGTATCTATTTGACTCTCATAAACTTTTATACAAGCAAATTTTTACCACAAGAAGTCTGTGTAAAGAAAACATCTATAGTCTGACACAACACAGGAAGTTATTTCCAACATTTCCACAGATTTTCTGGAGTCACAGAAAGAACAAAGCCAATTGTGCAAAGTTACTCTCCTAAATCATAGAATGGATTTAGTTTCCTTGTTATACAAATAACATATATTAACTCATAGAATGATTAGACATAGTAGCATTTATTAAATAGTTTAGATTTATTTTTCCAAAGCCCATACAAAGAATCTTAAGAAACACTAAAACGGGAGTGAAATGTGGTGTAAACTTTGGTTTTCACCACCAGTCTTCTCGGGTGTGCTAAAGCGCTACCCTTTCCAGAGCTGTCCTGAGGAGCAGCCTACAAACAAACGAAAAACTATCCTAACTGAAGTCAATAGGATCCACACTTGGAAATATGACTTGGAAAGGAATGAGATGAAATTTTATACCCATTTTTTATCACATTGGGATGCTAAAGGTCAGATAATTATGATGAAAAACACATACTAATTAGAGAGTTATACTAGCCTACAGAAAACAAGAACTGAGACTGGGAACTCTATGAATCATAAATAAGGAAATTCAACATCAGAATTAAAATGATAGTTCTAACTCTGTTATGATGGCTAAGTTTATCTACATATGGTGGAAAAGTCAGAGGAAGACAGTCGTAACAGAAACATCACCAGAGCTTATAAAATTTGTGATCCATAACTGCCTGGTTTTACACCATTGGAAACCAGTTAGTCTCCACTGAGGTCTCAATTTTTAGAATTTACAAACCTCAGGTTTTTTATTTGGCAAATTCTCACATTTCAGGTGTTTTAATAACTGATTAAATGGCATCTAGTTATATGGCTCAAGCTGAATGCACTCCCACTTAGCAGACTTATTGTTAATATTTGTCTGAATAAGCTGTAGTCATTATCAACCAGTGACAATAAAACAAATTCCCAGTTCATCTCAAATCAGTTAAGAGTACTCCATAACAAGAATTAATATCTGTGTGGAATATTTAATTCCTGAGTGCATTTCTGACTTTAAATACACATGAACAGTGAAATGGAACTCAGATTTTACAAACTTAACAACTTTATTGATAGTAAGTCAATAAAATGACTTATTTTACTCCACTATTTTTGTTCTGAGCACAGGAAGAACTTTGTGCAATGATGTCAGGACAGAACTGTCTTTTACACCTTCCAAAGGTGTTTACACCTTTTCTTGAAAAACTGACCTCCTCTGAAGAATTTTTTCTGTATCTAAGGGCCAAATTATGAAAGCTCTGTAAGCACCTAACACTTGTCAAGATTACTAGGGCTTTACATATCCTTTAAATTCTGTCCTGTATATCTCAGGTATCTAAAACCTAGGTAATCAAAGAGCATTTAGATGCTTAATCAACAAAAAGAATCCCCGCAAAATATTCATCACAGTCTGTATGAATACTTGGTTCCACATAGATTTACAAAGAGGGCTCTTAAGGGTCCGGAAAAGAAACCAGTGTGTTTTTGATGCACTACTTTCCTATCCGGAGACAAAGTAATGGTGTAAAGTGGGGTCACACAGAGTCACATACTAGCAATAACAGGCTTCTGCCTCACACCAGAAGCTTTTCTGAGAATGACACTTCAATTACAGCACCACAGAAGACAAAAAATACTCGACTGTGTCACAGAACTCAATTCCAATACTTCTTATACTATGATTTTTTTTCCCTAAATTCTGATAAAGTAACTATTGCTACTGATCTTGGTAACTATCCAGAGGTTTGAGATCAGTTGTATCTTTGATCAACGCATAAAATATACAGCTACATTGAGTGAGATGAACTGGAACAAATTTCAAATCAAAAAAGGTAAAAGTCAAAGAATGAAAACATTAATGCAAGTAAGGAAGCAAGACACAATGACTTAAAATATTAAGCAGTAGCTATATGTAAACCAGATGCATACTTCACATTTTTCTAATATTTGGGGGGATCCATTTGCTTATTTGGAATTATTTAGAGAAAAGAACAACGTAGCTTTGCAGATCCCATCATACAGTACTTTAAAAGTGAAGCATAACAGAACTAGTAAATAAATTAAATTTAAAATGTTTCCAGTTAGCATGCTCAAGACACTATACACAGCAAGTAATAGAACAAAAAAGTATTTTTCTCCAAAAAGTGTAATTTTTAAAAAATAACAAAAAGGAAATTAACTTTTTCAAATATTGATTGTCATTTAGTATCTAATGTATATAAAATCTTTAAATCTTATAAGTAGAAAAAAATTGTACAAAGGAGTAGCTACGTTATGTGGCTCAATTAACACAACCTAGAAAACTGAAAGATAACTAAGATGCTAATCTTCAAGAAACACAATTTGCTATTTTTCAAATGGAACATGCAAAGGTTGCTTAAAAAACATAAATTCTAAAGAGCAGCAGAACTTCTGTTAGCAAAAATATTACAAATCACTCCAGGCCAAAGTGGAAAATTAGATGCTTCAACAGATTTGAAAACTAAAGAGGTCCTAATAAAGAATATGTTTTAGAATAAATGCCTTCCTAACATTGTAACTCTAGATTTAATTCCAACTAATGAGCAGAAACTTGCTGAAAACCTAGCAATGAAAGCTCATTTGCATGAACGAAATTGTGATTTTCATGAACTGAAGTGTGGCCAAAGATAATGACTGTGGAAGGAAAAAAACCCAAACAGACTAACTAGCTATGTGAAGGCACAGGAAATGAAAAAGATAGTAAGAAGGTGTTATTTGTAATATTTCTAAAGTAGAAAAAGAGAGTTATGTAGAAATGAAATAGTAGACATTGTTAATGAATGAATCTTTAATGAGTAAGACACAAAAGAGAGAAAAAGACAATTGTGATGTAGCTGGATTTTTGTCTGGATTTGACATGATCCCATACAATCTTTTCACCAACAAAGCAGGGAAATGTGGACTAGATTAAGTAGACATTTACTATGTGGCATTATGATTTGAGAAAAAAACCCCATCATTATGTGTCATTTTGAAAGAAAGTTAATACGGCCATGTATTCAGTCTACAGAATACTAACGGAAACACCACAGTTACTCTTTGACTCATGTTTACAATACTATTTGGTCTCATACCTCTAAATAAATTTAGTAACAGAAATAAAAAGTTAAAAGTTTTTTTTAGTTTCACAAACATATACAAAAAAGGAACTAAACATTGATACTCATACCGTCATAAATCCATCCAGCAAACCTGAATCAGGCTTAGGAGGTGCTTGCAATCGCTCCATAGACCACTTTTCAATGATAGATGACACCTGGGTATTTTCTGTGTTTAAAATTCTGAATCCGGTCATATTAACACCACTATACCGGTAGGGTTCCACATCCAAGGCAAACAGGTCCTGAAAAAGATGACGGTCATATAAATTCTGTAATACACTGCAATTCCTACTTTGATTGTTAGACCATCTCCCCAGATGAGAGTACTGAAAATTGCAGGAGTACAAGTGCTATATATGCTAGGAAGTATGCTTTGTTTATCTGAGCAACTCAGCTGACCTGATAGTGGGAGTAATCTGATTCACAGAGGAAGAGTTGCAGAACTGTATCCACTACTAGCTAGGTTTAAATATTGAGAGTAGGCTTTAATATTAATTGCTAAAACTATTGTTATTAACCTTTAGTTCTTTGGCTTACCAGAACAGACTTCAAATCAAAAAATAAACAGAAAAATAGTTTCCTTGCACCTGCACTCCCTATGAAACTTGAACACGTTGATTTCAGACTATAAACTGGGAGGAGAGGGAAAACGTACATGGCTTTAAATTTAACTAAAAGGATTTTTCACAGCTATCAGTCTTACTTCCAAACAAGGATATATCCTTGACCAGGAACTTATCTTTGCAAAAATAACCTTTTCCAATTTAATGTATTTTTGACACAATGAATGTGTGTATATATTTAGCACCCCAATACAAATGGAGGCAAAGATAAATTAATAAAAAGAAGAAAATCAAATTTTTAGAATCAAGCAAGTAAAGTCAAGATTGTATCAATCCTTTGACAGAATCCTCAGAAACAATGCAGAACCAATACTTGACTTCAGGAAACTCAGGTCTACGAGTCTACCTTTCAGGTTTGAACATGGAGGAAAAAAAAAAATTAAGTTGATGAAGAAAGCAGTCCTGACTCACTAGGTCTAGGTACATGCATTATAAACAAACTTTAATTTGGCTTACTTTGTTGCCTTTTAAATAATTTTAAGTGACATAATCAAGGTTATACATAAGACATTACTATCCTATAACATAATTATAGTTTCACTGAACAAAGAAATTCTCCAGACATTTGATACTTCGTTATTCATCTGATTTTTAATTTATTTTTTGCTGGCAGCTTAATACATTATAAATTTACATTAAATGGTAGTGTTAGGTGTAACACTTGCCTGAATTCATTTTGTTCATTGGCTAGAGATGAAGAATATTAAATATTGTACTATGGAAAACTAGAATATAATTCATTATTCTTTGTTGACATAACCAAGCACACAAAAATAATAACTGGTTATCAGTCATTACCTCTTTTTAATTATAGCTAACAATGATACCATTTTCCATATACGATACCTAAGATAAGCAGGTGTCAAAATTCTTTTAAGTTATTCATTTACAAATAACCTAACTCATGTCCTCTTTCTAAAGAAATAAAATATTATACAGCAAGGGAAAGGTTGAAATTTAACTAGAACTACGTTATATCTTTCTCTCTATAAAATCTCAGTCTTTACTGTGAAAGAAGTCAGAACCTCAGATGCAATTATTTAATCCAAACACATTCATGTTTACACTGGAATATAATAAATATACACAACAATATTATTCATATATTATAAATATACACAGGTCAGAGTATTAATGAGCTACTGCATTAGACCCTGAATCAATCAAGAGGAGAATACACAGAAGACTGCTGTAAACACTGTGACTGGAAAATTTATTTGACAGGACTTTCACCATGTCAGGTAAGAAGCAATTAATATATCAAAACAACTATGTTCTGATGCAAGTTCCAAAGCTACACTGCAAAATCAAAATCTATCATCCATTTGTGCACACTAAATTATCCTTTGGTAGCTCCAAGTCAATACAATACTCGTCTCTCAAAAAAAAAGTTAATGTTCTAATAAGGAAATAAGAATGGCAGAAAATCCTGATTTTTAAACATAGCTTTAAGAATTAAAATTAAATGCCAATGAACAGCATACTACTCAAAAGGCAATTTTCTCCAACAACAAAATGAAAATTTAAAAAATAAAAAATCCCTTAAAACACCTAGAATCAACTCTGAGAGACTAGTGAGGGAAGTTCTATTGCACACAGTCCTAAATCTGCGATAGAACAACTTGCCCTTCTAAAATACCACTTGTGCAGAGTATTTTGCCTTTACAGTTACAGTGAACTTCACAAACTATTTTGCTTTCTATTCAACAAGCCATTTCCTTGCTAATACTTTCCGTGAACTTCTGTTTCATGATTCTGAGGTGAACTTTCCATCCTACCACAAGGGATTCAATTCCACAAGGACTTAAACACGTACGCAACTCTAAACTTAGGTCATTTCAAGCATGGTTTTACAAGTGCAATTCTGTCTCATGCTTGAAATTACCTGTATTTTAAGAACCTTAATGAACTGCAATCTAAATAGACAAATTTGAACAGAATGGAAAACAGACAAATGTGCACTACTGTAGCTTCTAGAGTACTATTTTACCAACTTTAAAACTGTTTCTTAATTAGGTTGCAGTGAGCAGCAAAAAAAGCTCTTCACATACATGTTTGTTAGGTTTTCTGAGAGCATTCATATTTCAAACGTTCATTTATTGCAAATGTTAAATCTAGTGGTTCCAAGAATGAACAAATTCCTTCTTAGTTACTTTTACAATGGACACCAAAGCATACTGTGTAATTTATTTGCCTAAAAAGCTCATGTGGACTGTTTTATATAATGCTGCTAATATTCACACCAAAATATTCAGGAATCATATGAGCGTGAACTATTACCTTGTAAAATGTTGGATGAAAAATAAGGAATATTTGAGTAAGTTTAAAATATCATAATCTTCACATATAAATAGCTAGAAGAGAAAAATGATAAAATTCACAATATAAATAATCAATTATATACTCAACCCTGCTTGAAAGTTGAAAACTGCAGTGCTGCAGAGTCAGTTGCTCTTTCAAGTCTATCAGTTTCCAGGGCACACTGTTTAACAATGATTAAACCATCCTGATGAGTTTTCAATGAAAGTAAGAAAACTCAACAGAGAAATCATCTTCTACGCACACTCCATTCCAGAAACACCTTTTTGATTTTGTTAAGTGATACAAGTAAGGAAAGTAACATCTTTCTTAGATGTCATCAGTATGTTTTTATAAGCCACTTACCAGTGTGGTGAAGATATAGTGATAGTATTCTGTCATCATTCCCATAGCTAAAGCCTTAAAAAAATAAACAAAAGATTAATGTTTCTGAGGTCAAGCAATACATTTTTATCACATTTACATGGTAAATGAAAAGCTGCAAAAGAACACTACTGGGACCAGACTATAAGGTTGGAATTATACTAAAATTAGGTCAAGCAAGTCATTTCCTAGCAGTTAGAGCAGATTACTGACTATTAAAGGAATTTATGAACCAGATCTTCTGATAGAAAGAATACTATTAGACTGTTTAGTGAAGTAAATGTGAAAGAGGCTTATAGTTTTACATATTAATGGATGCATTAAGTTTCCACACGAAATTTGAATTGACAATATTTTCAATCATTGTTGTACTCTTCTCTTAAAAAGAATAACCTAACAGGAAATATTTTTTCTATGTTGATGAACAATGCTATGCATTTATAAGAAGAACCCAAGCTTCTATTATACATGTGTGCATTTTTCCAACCATGGAAGAAAATACTCCTGAGCAAAGTTTTGAAAAGCAAGATACGTGCTCCTTCAGTAAAAATGAAGAACAAATATTTATAGTATTATGCTATAAATTCAGGTATCTATCAAGTACCTTCGTCTGCCTTGCTAACTATGTAATACCAAAAACTTGTTTATTAACTGTGTATTTTAAAATGTTCAGACTTTTCAGGAGTAGGGAGGTGATCGTGACCCTGTACTCGGCACTGGTGAGGCCGCACCTCAAGTAATGTGTTCAGTTTGGGGCCCCTCACTACACAAAAAATATTGAGGTGCTGGAGTATGTCCAGAGAAGGGCAGTGAGGCTGGTGAGGGGTCTAGAGAACAAGTCTTATGAGCAGCAGCTGAGGGAACTGCGGCTGTTTAGGCTGGAGAAGAGGAAGCGGAGGGGGGACCTTATTGCTCTCTACAACTACCTGAAAGGAGATTGTAGTGAGGCAGCTGTTGGTCTCTTCTCCCAACTAACTAGCGATAGGATGAGAGGCAATGGCCTCAAGTTGCATCAGGGGAGGTTTAGATTAGATATAAGGAAAAATTTCTTTACTGAAAGAGTGGTCAGACATTGCAATAGGCTGTCCAGGAAGGTGGTGGAGTCACCATCCCTGGAGGTGTTCAAAAAACATGTAGTTGTGGCACTTCAGTGTATGTTTTAGTGGGCATGGTGGTGTTGGGTGGATGATTGGACTCCATGATCTTAGAGGTCTTTTCCAATCTATGAGTCTATGATTCTCTTAACAGTGCAAGAACAAATATTTGTAGATACAATTTTAAAGCGATAAACTACGGATGTCTCATTACTCTTATTCATTAAGGGCATTTTCACCTGAAAAGCATGTACCTTCATGCTCTGCACCAAAGTTGCATAGACTAGTGAGATTTATTCAATCATTTTAGTATCTACAGTGATTTTTACCTAATTTTAGCACTGTAAAAAAGCTACACAAGTAAGCAATATTTTCTTCCTTTCCAGGAATTATCAATGGAAGTCTTTGCCAAGTCCCTACCACTTCCACCTCCTTTAACACAGTGAAGGCAACAATTACACAGTTGTCCTAATACCAGACTTTGTATACAAAACAATAATCAGAGTTGTGAAGGCTGTGGGAGCCTTTTTACTTTTGACATTGGCTGAAAAATGATGAAAAAACTTGTCTATATGTTCTTTTTCAAAGAAAAGTTAAAAGTTAAAATAAATTCAAAATGTCAGCTGCAGATCAGATTTTACGATATTTTAGACAAGACTAACAAAAACTGCAACAACATTTTTCTAAAGGATGCTTGCACCTGTGTATTTAGAATTCCACAATAATATTTGGACGTACGTTATATTGTGTCAATAGCAATTTAAATTCTCACAGGAAAAGCATTATCTCATGAAAAATATTACAACTTTGTCAGAAACTGTACAACTACAAACATTGTTAGATTTTTTAAGAACATTTCTTGTTGTTTTTAAATAAAGCCAAGTTATCCTCCTCTATAAATGTAACACACTTACAGTCACCTATATCTTAACTGGATATAAACAGGTCTTTCATACTCCACAGAATCTCTACACAAGAACATCTTACATACGTTCCCGATTCTGCTACATGTTGGTGTTGTCTGTATCCAGGTCTTCTTTCTCTCACCTTTCTCACTTCGCAAAAGACCTCACTTCTTTTTCCTATTCAAAACACTGTCTTTTCTCTGCTCTCATTATTCTATTTTTTTCTTTCCCTAACCCTTTACATCATTTCTTCTTTCCCTGGTTGCCTGGTGAAGTAGCTACCACTGAGATTTGCCTTAATTTAATTATGCTTGACTGAATGATTGGATTTTTTTTCCTTTTCATGATGTATTTTTGGCCAGAAAATAGTAGCTGCCATTTCACTGGCATCTCAAAAGTACTTTTTTTTTCTTTATTTCCAACTTCTTCTCTCTTCAGCCAACATCTTTGTTAATTTTTCCAATCATCCTCCAAGAAGAAACCCCTTGTCATGTCCCCCAAAGTTCATCCCTCCATTACCAGAAAAAATGGGTTAATTAATAGATCACAAACAAATATATAAAGATATTTTTTCAACAAACACTTGTAAACACTAAATTTGGAATGATCATTAAATTATAAATACAGTCTTAACATCCTTTGTGTGAATTTTGACAGCAAGAGCTTACATTCAGCTGCAGAACTACCAATTTTAGACATATTTAAAGCATTGCAACGTTGGAGATGAACGGAAAGCTAAAAGTCTACCAAAAATGTAAAAAGATCTAAACACTCACGAAAGAACTGTTCCTGTATCTTCCTTCCATAATCTTTAGGATGGGCAGAGTAGTTTGACATAATAATTTACAATTTGATTTAAAGAGGTTGAACACTCACTCCTGGGTCCCGTGGCATGATTAAAGATATAATGCTTTCAATTTTCTTCCCATTTCCATTCAGTCATATGTTGGCTTCTTCAACTACATCAGCAGCAAAAGGAAGGCTAGGGACAATGTGGGGTCGCTGCTGAATGAGGCGGGTGTCCTGGTGAGGGAGGATGCGGAGAAGGCAGAGCTACTGAATGCCTCTTTGCTTCAGTCTTCAGTGCCAAGACTGGCCCTCAGGAATCCCAGGCCCCGGAGTTAAGAGAAGGAGCCTACAGAGAGGACGACTTTCTCTTGGCTGAGGAGGACTGTGTGAGGGATCCCTTAAGCGATCTGGACGTCCACAAATCCATGGGCCCCGATGGAATGCACCCACGA